TTATTCCGAAATCTGAAAATACCGCGTAAATCGACGTTTCAAGGAGCATCTTGTTACGGAGATTTTTTTTTTTATCGTCCTTCGCTCGATATGTTCAGATACTCAAGAAATATTGCTTACTTTCTGGAGGGCGGTGTTTTGTGCAGACACAAAATCTGAGACCGGATTTGGACAGCTCTCGTGATTTCCCGCCACACACACCAGAGGACACACAACACACACACCCTTTACGCACGCAACGAAAGACGCACACGCGCTCCGGGCACATGGGTCGCCCAAAGGGTAAGCGCAAGCTGCCAAGGAACGCCGACGGCACGATTCGGAAGGCCCCTTCGCCCCCTGCGGACCCTGCTGTAGGCAACGACTCTCCTCCCTCTCCCGACCATGAAGGCGCCAATATTTCTCCCATGCACACCAACGACCACGACGACGACTGGCCCCACCGCCGTTCTCATCGGCCTGCCGAAAGGAGGTAAGCAGCTGCTCATGGAGATGGGGCTACTGTCACCACTGCGGGTGGGTATGGATAAATTCGGACGACGTAGCTATAAGTGCAACCGTTGCTTGTGTGTTCCTCTTTGGTCCGTCTTCGTGAAATTATGCTCAGCTTGGTAATTTGTAGTTGTGCTACCTGATATTGACCTCTGGGCAGGACCGTCGGGCTCCAATCATTATTTCGTTCGTGGTTTTGTCTGGCGTTGTTGGTACTCCGACATTTCTACTTTCGTTTCAGGTATGGTTTTGCTTCTTCCTTGTTGAGCAGGTAGCCTGTGCGGCGCACAAGATGGACAGCATGCATCGTATCCGAGTTGCAACGACGGTTGACTGTCTTTCATTTTTTTTGGGGTGCGGGTAACGATATGAATCTCGACAAGGTATTGAACGCGGGAACGACGCCAAAGCAATAGAGAAACTAAGCCGACAAAAAACAACAGAGACAACAACAATGACAACAACAGCTGCTGTTGCAATTGTGTGCCTCGTCCTGCAGCACCATACCCATTGTTCGAAGAATAATGTGAGGGGTAGAGCGTTATGACGTCAAGGTTCAAGAGCGAACGACGTATGTAAGAAGGTGCGATTTCCAACCACCACCATGGTGTGATAGTCAGGTTTATGATGTCTTCTTGGTTTCGTGCTTGTATCCCTGACGCAATCGCTCGTCTTCGGACGTATTGGACGCCTCCGTTGCCCTCGGGAATGGTGAGCTATCATTCCCAGCNCGATTTCCATCCACCACCATGGTGTGATAGTCAGATTTATGATGTCTTCTTGGTTTCGTGCTTGTATCCCTGACGCAATCACGCGTCTTCGGACGTATTGGACGCCTCCGTTGACCACGGGGACGGTGAGCTATCATTCCCGGAATAGTAAGGACCTTAAGGACACTTTCCCGCGTTAAACAAAGGCACTTTCAAATATAAAATAGATGCGTATCTTCACAGCGGGGACGACTGGTTGGAAATTCTGGGGGGCAAACGAAGGCTTAATACTATAGAGCAGCATCAATTTGCTTTTCGTTTCTTTCAAGTGGCACGCTTGCGGAATGGGAAACAGAACAGACCGGGCCAATAGTTTCGACTGTTGTTACGTTTACAGACATCGCTCGAAAAGGAACCACAACTGGGAACAAATACGCAATCGTGATCAGGTTTGGTAGAGCAGAAAATCCTATAACCTACATGAAATGGTCGGGAATACTGTGTCAGTTTGTCAAAGACGCAAGTGGGCAACATTCTTCGTCACTGGAACTGAAAACAAACCAGAACATGAACTGCCATCTAAACACAATCAAC